ATTTTAGATCAAGTTAAACTGCATGGCATCAAACCGAAGAAAAGCACAAACTCCTCTCCACAAGTTCTTTTAAACATGCCATTCGGGGACAGACAGAGGAGCAGATATGGGTAGAGCTTCTCAGCAAAATAATACGAGGACAATAAGTGGAGAGGACTCAGAGATTCCCAGACAAGCCAAATACTCTACACAGGCAAGAGACACAAATCTAAAGTGTTTCATCTAATGGCTGTAGAAGCTTAGCCGGTATTTGCTCTCCCAGACAGAGAAATGCTGGCCAAAATAACAATCGGAAATCATCACTGGCCATAATGCTCGCCCCACCAACGCACATAAATAACAATTAAGCAATTATAATGATGTGGTCTGCCTTTCCAAGCAACGACAAAGGAAAATGAAGGAGTAACGTCTTATTTCAGCAGCATATTTACTCCTCTATATCTTAAACTCTAACAGCACAGAGACAGAAGAAAATGGCTCAGCTTTTTGAACGCATGAGTGATAAAAAGAAAACAAAAGCATTACTCAGATTAGTGCTCTTTATAATGTGTGTCAAAATCAAAGCCCACAACCTAGCCATTTGTCAATTTTAATCCAACTCACAAATTATTTTTTAAGAAAGTTTGGCCTGTGGTCTGCACCGCCCTGTGCTCATGGCAAACTAACCCTCCGCTGCATCAGCAATCTGACAAGCCTGCAAACAATGAACGTGACAAGACTACATAGTCCATGTCTAACTGAGTGTTAACAGACGCCTATCATGAAAAAATTTGTTTTCAAAGAACATAGTTCCCATTTGAACATATACAGCAGCAACGATATGAAGTCATACATACTGCAGACAGGTATGCAGCTAAAGCAAAACATGTTTCTTCTTTCAGTCCTGATCTCAAAGTGTTGAAGCTGCAGAGTTGCTGCAAGCTTCATTTTTGTTCTGTGCCAGGAGGCTGCTCTCTATGGTACAGGTAGACTAGGTGATCAAAGAGCTTTTGCCTCCTTCTTCTTCTTTTTTTCTTAAATTAGCTTCCTGCACAAATATTGAGCTGTCGTGTTCGGGCCTGTGACACAGGCAATGCCAGAGCTGACGACGCACTCTGTGCAAGACTGAAACAAAAGACTGGTTTTATGCTTTGACATTAGGACTTAACAAGATTTTATTAAATGCCCCAACTTCAAGCTTGTGGAACAGGTTGTTATAAGTTGGCTGAAGGAAAGCCTTCTTTGTGGAGTTAGTTTGCTTAACTACATTTTATAAAGACTAATGATCTTATTTTGTTCTGGTAATTTAATTAAAGCACGTCTATAAACTGTATCCTGTATGTCTGGCCCTTGGTATAATTCCCATTTTGCAGCACAGCCCTTAGCAAACCCTCCTTGGACGCTGTTGCCATACGTAAAATGCTGCTGACATAAATGTGTGCTTTTGCTTGCACGTAAAGACAAATGTTGTGAAGAGTGTCACGGTTATATGTATCCAAAAGCCTTAGAGAGCAATTAAAAGGCCAAGCATAGGAGTCTAAATTGCCCCTAGAGACGTATGGAGATACAACACAAACACGTTGGACAAAGGCAACGAGAAAAGACATTCAAACATAATATTTATCACCTTAACATGTTGACATTTCCTCCCATTGTGGGCGGAGTGGTGACAGTTTCATGAAAGGGGGAAAACAAAAAAGATTTATCATCAGCGGAGCGTGAAAGCA